TGTGTGTGTGTGTGTGTGTGTGTGTGTGTGTGTGTGTGTGATATATTATCCTAGCTAGCAATTCAGACGACAGACCTGGATGGCAAAGACAACACGAGATGCCTTGACAAGCGAGTACATGTGTACAGTACATGATGTATATGGTGTACTCACCTTGGTGTATCTCTGGGCGTAGGAGCCGGTGAGCAGCGAGTGGAAGATGATAATGGTCTCGTCCAGGTCCCACACGAACACACGCTCCAGGTCGGACTCCGGGCCAGGTGACGGCTGTGTCCGCCGGCCGCTGCGTGGCCTTGACCCTCGCTGACCTGTAAGGGTGGACAGACAGCGGAATGACGTTTGGTTGATTGAGTGACAGAGAGAAGCACGTCGATTATAACGCAATAACGGTTTATTTAGCGCAGGAAAGAGAACCTAGACAGACAGACAGACAGACATACAGCGGGATGACGTTTGTTTTAGTTTAAGTAAGAGTTTTACGGCACTTGCAACACAATACGGTCATATAGGTGTCGAAGATTAGAGGTGTTCCAAGAGGGTAACAAACACAAAAAAGAAGTTTAAAAAAGTTTTAGTAAGAGTTTTACGGCACTTGCAACACAATAGGGTAATATAAGAGCCGAAGATTAGAGCTGTTACAAGAGAGTAACAAACTCCAAAAAGAGAATGTTTGATAGGAAAGAAGAAGCAAACCACACCACAGCATCCGCCAACCACCCACTGACGTTTGTTTGAGTAAGAGAGAGAAGCACGTTGATTATGATGCAATAACGGGTTATTCAGAGCAGGAAAGAGTACGACCTAGACAGACAGACAGACAGACAGACAGACAGACAGACAGACAGACAAACAGACAGACAGACAGACAGACAGACATAAGTATCTCTATTTCGACCTAAAAACAATCACAGAATTGGTTGCTTTTAAGGACAAGCGGGCTAACTCAGATTTCGGGGGTTTCCAGAAATCTTCATCCATACCAAAAGTGGCCATTTTCCTACCTATAAGAGAAGTTTGGTTTCATTGGTGTGTATATTTGTTTGGTTATAGAGAGAACTCTTCTTGTCTTCAAAGAAACTGAACAAGGGGCAAAAATTTTACCTTCGATTTTCTCATAACAGCTTTTTTCGGGATAGCCCCCTTGTGCTTAACCCTCTTCGTACGTCGTGTTTCACTATCGTATCCATATCTGTGCAACCACTTTCCATGGAGGGAATTTACTCGTTAATCCGATCCGTGCGCTTTGCATAGCAGTCTGTCAAAATGATATTTTGAGAAATACTGAAAGTTTCACAGAGTATTCTAAAATGTGAAGAATACAACCGTGGGGGTATAAAATGACCACAGGACGTACGGACACGGTTAAACGTGTAGAGATGCCCCTATTTCGACCTAAAAACAATAACAGAATTGGTCGCTTTTAAGGTCAAGCGGGCTAACCTAGACTTCGGGGGTTTCCAGAAAAACAAAGGAGGCCATTGTCCTACGTATAGGAGAAGTTTGGTTTCATTGGTGTGTATATTTGTTTGGTAATAGAGAAAACTCGACTTGTCTTTCAAAGAAACAGAAGAAGGGGCAAAAACTTTCCTTTCGATTTTCTCAAAACAGCATTTTTCGGGATAGCCCCCTTGTGCTTAACAGCGTCCAATTGACGCTCTCCTTACCGTTCTCCTTGAGAGGCGGTGACGGGTTGGCCATCTGGTTGTAGCTGCCCTCTCCTGTTGGGGTTGGGGGGGGGGGGCAGACAACACAGTACATGAGATGTTGTCGTTGTTGTCGCCGTCGATGCTGTTGATGATGATGATGATGATGATGATGATGATGAAGATGATGATGATGATGATGATGATGATGATGATGATGAAGATGATGATGATGATGATGATGATGTTGTTGTTATTGTTGTTGTTGTCGTAGTCGCCGTCGTTGTTGTGGATGTTGTTGTTGTTACTGTTGTTGACGATGCTGTTATTGATGATGACGATGTTGTTTGTTGTTGCTGCAATTGTTGCTGTTGATGATGTTGTGTTGCAGCTGTTGAATTTGTTGTTGTTGTTGATGATGTTTTTGTTGAAGTTGTTGTCGTTGATATTGTTGCCTTTGTTATTATTGTTGTATTGTTGTTGTTGTTCAATTTGTTGGTTTTACTAGCTTCCCTGTCACATGTAATCTATATCTATCGTAGGCATATTTTTGGTGTAAGTTTGTCGCTTCATTTGATGTGCGTGTAGTTATTGTTTTGTGGTTGTTATTGCTGTGTCCGTGTTCGTTTTTGCTTTTGTTTTTGTAATTGTTATTTAATGCCATTCAAGACATACACACTAACATGCTCACTAACACAAACATCCACACTAACCATAAAACCAAACCGGGTATACTGACTCCATCCAACCCTCTTTCCAACATCCCCCTCCCCCTCTAACACTTACACCTTTCCTCTTTCCTTACTCTCCCCCTCCACAACCCTCAGCACCCGACCCCCCAGCTCCCTCCTCTTCACGACTCCAGAACCGCTTGGAGGCTAAAAAGGTGAGAAGACCCCCACCGAGACCGAGACAGAAGTCATTTGATTTGGCCAGCCTCACTCGCCAGCATCGTCATCATAATAATTACTAACTATCCATACGCCTGGGCGAGGTTAAAAGAGCGCCGCCGACCACCGAAGCCCGGCGAAATCACGAAAAATTAGTCCTAGTCGAAGCGGTTGGGGGTGGGGGGTGGGGGGAGCGAAGCAGCGAACAACACGTCAGCAGCAATAATCAACCGGATAATTAGAAACCCGACTCGCCAGCTCAGCCAATGGCGACCTCGTTACCGAAGCGGCGTCCGCCCTCGACCCAATGGCTAACCTCGTTACGACCGGACACTCGATAGCCGCCCCAACCAAAATGGCCCCGAGACGGTAACGCTAGCCGACCAGTGACTTCTGACAGCGGATCGCGTGTCGCCCGTAATGAATATTTCCATCTACATAACCAGGAGATCTATCTACGTGGCTCGCTCCCCCCACCACCGACGGGCCTAATCACGAGTAATGACGAGGGAGGGAGGGAGGGGGAGACAGAAAGGGGACGGCGGAGG